ATATATATAATGTTTTTGAGATGCCCTTTATATTTGTATCAATGTCTCATCGTGACTTACGACACGTTCACTCCAAATATGAAAATGGTTCTCCCGTTATGACTGTTCGTAACGTTGCAGTTTTCACTCTTCATCGCAAGAGCTTGGTTCTTGGGGATGCTTCAAAGATAACCTCATTATTCACACATTGAAGTGTGCTGATTAAGTTTGTGGTTGCGACTTTTAATGAGCTGATTCCAGTATGAAATTTTTTGCATTTGTATCAAAACTTCCAACTTGAACGGAAGCATTATTTGTGAGAGAATTTTTGGAAAGAAGAAGCAATGCAGTCCCAGATCAGTTACTAAGTGGAGCATAGCAACGCGTCGTCGGCCGACTTCGGGAGCATGCGTATGCATCCAACACTCCCTTAATAAAGATAACAAGTTTTGCCACGACCATAGAGGACGTATTCAGCGTGTATTTAGGGTTTTTTTTTCGTGCCGGTGAAGGGCTGTGACCTATCTTAAATGCTAGAAAATAAACCATAACTTGAAAGCTTTACGCGGCGTAGATTTAATTGTGAGTAGTGAGCGCTATGCTTCATCAGAACGCACTCTTCTTTCGAGTGTGCACCAACTCGTCTACAATGCGTGAGGGTGCTGGCACGGTGATCTCGCGCCGCACAATGCTGTGGGGGGTTTTTTCGGTATTTAAGGTGAAGGCTATATGACTTGTAAGTTAACAAATCTACTAAAACGTTGTATGAAGAGTAAAGGCTATGTCTCACGATCCTTCCCCCTCAATACCAGACGAGATTTTTGATCTATTGGGGTGCCTCTCTACTTCACAAGGATCTGGATCGGCCAATCTTTTGAAATCTAACAAGGAAAATGGGAGTCGCAGTGGCGATCCGTAAAGGGAGTATACCACAATTTCTATCAAAAATATCCCAACCGTTTTCCATATCTGACAAACGACACTCTGCAAGGTGGTTGCACGCGTTTTAAAGAACAGAGATGTATCAAATTGCTCAACACATTTAGCATAAAAACAAGAATGCAAAACAAAGTGATTCAATGTACTGCCTTTTTTTACATTCAATTTCTGTCAAATCCCAGACCATTATCTGGTATTTGGTCATCAGATTAATTGTGGATATTCGTAGTTACGACTTGGTGATAATCTCAATCTGCCCGACGATTCGAACCTAGCTGTATAAGATTGATGAGCAAGAGACTTACCACTGCTCTACCCCCTTGCTTGACGCTATTACTTCAATTCGTCTAGACAAGCTCATTCGGAATTGAGCCGCGGCTCCTTCCAGAGTGTCGTTCAGCAAATATGGAAAACTTTGGCATATAATTCAGTGAAGATTCTTATGGTATATACTCTTTCTGGATCGCAACTGGAATTCTGCATCCTTCTATTGTAAGAGCACATGTAAAGATCAGTTGTAGGAGGTGCGACGTTGCGTTGCGGCAAAAAAAAAAATGAATATCAAGGAATCAGCTCAATTTCTATTAGCACCGCCCTTTTTTCTTCAAATATGGCATCATTTCTCTCCGAAAGCAACTCAGGTTGTGAGGGGCGGAAGCAATGGAAATGCGCAGGCGGTTTGCATGGTCACGGAATTGTGGGAAACACCATACTTGTTCGAGCCCCTTGATTTTATGAGGTTTTTACGAAGTGCATGCCGAATCGTCTTAATTGCAACCTTTCGTCTTCCTAGTAACTTCCAACCAGATTAATCAGCCATTTATCCTTTATTACATATTCCAACTTTTTTCGCATACATTTTTGTTTTGATTGGATTGAAAGTTTTTACAAACTTAGTTCGGTTTGTATATAATTACCACTAAGAGGTTTCAACAAGTAGGGCTGAATTCCTCTTCACCTTGTGACCCATCTGCTTGCACACTTGTTCCATTTCATTAAAGCCTGCAAGCCTAAATTTGCTACAGAAAGAAATCGAGCTTAACTCTAAAAAAAATAAGCGGATGGTTAGAAGGTCGGGCTGTGGCGACATTAATCTTTGTCGCAAGGTAACCGCGCTGCATCTTTCATGGACTTGTGCTTATTGGCGCTTGTAGGATTCTCCATGCCATAAAAACGGACAGTTTTCCGTTTATAAGCGC